TATATATATATATATATATATATACATATATATATATATATATATACATATATATATATATATATATATAAATGTATATATGGGGCGGCATTTATTTGATAAAAAATAATATTGTTAAATATTATGACGATTTAAAATAACTGTATTCTATTCTAAAATATTTGTAATTTATTCCTGTGATCATAATAATTTGTCGACACCTCGACATATTAAATTTATAAATGTAAAAATAAAATTTAAAAATAAATTTATATAAATATATATATAAATATATATATATATATATTTATATAAATTTATTTATTTATATAGACTACTTTTCACCAACCAATTTCCTCGCAATTGATAGAATCAAATCCTATTTTTTTCAGAAATGTCATATTAAAGAATGTAAAACTTATTTCATGTCGACTAAAATACTATCTACTCTGCTGAAGTCAGACTTCAGTGGCAATATGGTCCCATCTGACTTTGCTGTCAGTACAGACTCTGTGTTTTCCTGGCTATTTTTTAGATCCTGCAAAAGAGAGACAATGCACCCATCAGACATCTAAATTATTGACAAAGGCACTCTAGCCCGCTCTGTTTGAGAAGAATCTGAAGTTTGAGCATGTTTCTCAAATATCGTATATATTTTCACTCTTGTCACTTGCTTCTGGTGTTAAATCCACATTGTGTAACCAGATAAGCATTTTGCTGTTTTCATTGGTGAAGTGTTGTTCTTTTCGACAAAGTAAAGTAAAATGACTTGTGACAGATCTTGTTGGTGTAGAGTGTGACGGTAATGAGGTTGTTAGATTCTTCCTCGCATTCATCTTCATGTCTGGGCTCGACTCGACACAGTTACTGAGAGACTGAGTCAGGGTTTGCAATTATTCAGACAATTAGGAGCTTGTCCTCGATCTCTCTCTCTCTCTCTCAGTCTGACTGTGGCTTTATTCATCATCTCCTGGAATGAGCACACACACACCTCTGAGACAGTACACACTGATTCAGAGTAAACTCCAAGCGTTTTCTTTCATAAGCAAATGAACTGCGATCCTACAAAGAATTGTGAATAATAAATAAATTAGAAAAATTAGAATGATTTCTGAAGGATCATGTGACACCGAAGACTGGAGAAATTATGCTGGAAATTCAGCTTTGATCACAGGAATAAATTACAAATATTTTAGAATAGAATACAGTTATTTTAAATCGTCATAATATTTAACATTATTATTTTTTTATCAAATAAATGCAGCCTTGGTGAGCAGAAGAGACTTCTTTTCAAAAGAAATCACCGATCCAAAATTATTGACTGCTTGTGTATATAAATTGTAAAAATGTACATTTTAATTTGAAAGCATCACTACTGTTTCTTAGGTTCGAAAGTATTTTATACTGACATATTATAGTCAATATAAAATATGAAAATCGATTTTAAAAATGCATCTCAATGATCTTTTTGTCCATGCATGATTTTTAATTAAGAATTTTTTTTACCATTTTTTTTTTTCAAATCAAAATGTCGTAAATTTTATTTTTTCTTCCGATAAAATAACTTCTCTCTGATGTCTCACGCCGGACTTCGCCAATCATTTGTTCTGTTTAAACTCTTTAAAATGAACTGCAAGCTCACATTCAATGATTGATAAAACCACACCGACCACGAGTGTACATCACAATAAAAGATCTGTCTCTACTTCAGTTTCATCACAAAACAGTCTTATAGTTATCCAGCGTTCTAGAAGAGGTCAGAATTGATCATATCTGAGACTAAATGTCCAATTTCCAACTGAGTTCCAGTCAAATTACACAAGATGGTCACATGATGTCACAATGACAAAACAAGAGCATTCATGTTTTTGTGTCATTATATGTCAAAAGCAGAAAGAATAACACAAAATGCTTGCATTCACTAGCAACAGCTGACGTGAAACAATAAATATGTATAATACATTTATGTACAGTTAAACGTTTGACATAAGTTATCTCCTCTGTAAGCTATGCTCATTGGAAGCAGAAGTAAATCGATGTGCCCAGAGTTCACAGGTCTGAAATACGACTTTGAGCGACGTTCTAGAAGTTATTTATTTTCAAGTAGGAGCTTGGAGGGGAAAAAAAAACTATATTCTTGTGAAACAGAACATTAGTTAACTTCCTAACCCTAACTGTCATATGTTATCATCCCTTTAGATGCATTAATAGAGATTCTAAAGGTGTTATGGTGCGTTTAGTCAGCATGGTTTTAGCATGTTGCTAAGCTAACAGTTCACTATGGTGTAAAGCATTAAAAATACATTGTGTGCAACAAGTTTCCGAAGTACTGAACACATCCTAGGTCAGTTTACTCTGTAGTCTTGGATGAGACATAATAAACTTGGCCTTAGACTTTTTTTTATGGTTTAAAGGCCTAAAAATGTTGCCTAGCTGGGAAGCTCACTATAGGTTTCTGAACTGAGGAGTGAAAGGTCTTCCTATTTCCTGCATCCCATTCCACGTTATGAAGGTCCTCTTTGTTTTGGCACGAAGCCGGCACACCTGCTGTGATTGATTGTAGTGTGGAATATAAGACGGGCAGAGCGAATCAGTCGGTGTGAAGTTGAGGAAATTGCACTGCCACCGACACCATCCTCTGACCGTAATTCTCAATCTGAGAGCTTTCGGCCCACTCACGCTCTTGAGAATTTTACGGATTCCCACTGAGAGGGTCTATTTTCTACTTTTAACGCAGACTTTATCACACTTCCTGTATTTCTCGTTCACTCACATGCTTTAGAGGTTTCTCTTTTTTGTCTCTCCGTCTCTTCAATTCCATTCGTTTTAAATGGTTTCCTTTCTTTCACTAGTTTTACAGTACATTGCTTCACATTCAACCATTGTCTGACACATATTCATTATATATATATATATATATATATATATATATATATATATATATAACACACTCACACCTAAAGGATTATTGGGAACACCTGCTAAATTTCTTATCAATGCATTTAGGGGTGTGGTCCTGGTCAAGACAATCTCCTGAACTCCAAACTGAATGTCAGAATGGGAAAGAAAGGTGATTTAAGCAATTTTGAGTGTGGCATGGTTGTTGGTGCCAGACGGGCTGGTCTGAGTATTTCAGAAAAAATGTGTAAAAAAAAGGGAAAAACATCCAGTATGCGGCAGTCCTGTGGACGAAAATGCCTTGTTGATGCTGGAGGTCAGAGGAGAATGGGCCGACTGATTCAAGCTGATAGAAGAGCAAGTTTGACTGAAATAACCACTCGTTACAACCGAGGTATGCAGCAAAGCATTTGTGAAGCCACAACAGGCGGATGGGCTACAACAGCAGAAGACCCCACCGGGTACCACTCATCTCCACTACAAATAGGAAAAAGAGGCTACAATTTGCAAGAGCTCACCAAAATTGGACAGTTGAAGACTGAAAAAAAAGTTGCCGGGTCTGATGAGTCTCAATTTCTGTTGAGACATTCAGATGGTAGAGTCAGAATTTGGCGTAAACAGAATGAGAACATGGATCCATCATGCCTTGTTACCACTGTGCAGGCTGGTGATGGTGTAATGGTGTGGGGGATGTTTTCTTGGCACACTTTAGGCCCCTTAGTGCCAATTGGGCATCATTTAAATGCCACGGCCTACCTGAGCATTGTTTCTGACCATGTCCATCACTTTTTATGGCCACCATGTCCCCATCCTCTGATGGCTACTTCCAGCAGGATAATGCACCATGTCACAAAGATCAAATCATTTCAAATTGGTTTCTTGAACATGACAATGAGTTCACTGTACTAAAATGGCCGCCACAGTCACCAGATCTCAACCCAATAGAGCATCTTTGGGATGTGGTGGAACGGGAGCTTCGTGCCCTGGATGTGCATCCCACAAATCTCCATCAACTGCAAGATGCTATCCTATCAATATGGGCCAACATTTCTAAAGAATGCTTTCAGCACCTTGTTGAATCAATGCCACATATAATTAACGCAGTTCTGAAGACAAAAGATGGTCAAACACACTATTAGTATGGTGTTCCTAATAATCCTTTAGGTGAGTGTTTATGATTAAGTAGCTTATTATATATTATATTGGTCTTTTTTATCAGTTATAATTTAAATCCTGCATTATAGAGCCGCTATAGGTAGTTGGTTTCTTCATTTCTCTGGCTTTTCAAATCTGTTCTCCCTCTTTCTCTTTGCGCTCGGTATTTCATAGGCTCACTGGAGCAAACAAGACATTTGCGTTAGCATCTGAGCAGAATTATGTCTCATGCATTAGCCACGCTCATGAATATTCATGAGCAAATTTGCTCATCAGGAGCCTCATGTTGCAAATATCATCTCTCAAATTGGCAGGGCACCGAAAATAAAACAAATATAAAATAATTTGTGCATGTAAATATAATATGGAGCCTCACCCCAAAGATGTTGGCTGTGTTTAAATACTGTTATTTTCTCTGTAAATGACAGGAGTGCTGTATTGATAGGAGATTGACAGATCGAGTCACACCTCTGTGTGATGTTTTTTAACGTGTCACATTTGGAGGTGTAATAAGGTGTGAAATCAAGCAGGCCTCTAATTGTGCTGGTCTAACAGCAGATGTGGCCCATTTGAGTATCCGTTCCTTTTTTTTAATTGAATTGTGTTTGCTTCATTGATCATTACTTTCCTGTTTATCTCTGTAAAGCTGCTTTGAAACAATTTGTATTTTATAAAGGTGACTTGATTGCAATTTAAAGCAAATAGCTCAGACTATAAATTATGAGTGTAAGGTTGAAGGCATTGTGAAACGCATGCAAACGTGTGGTTTTATATTTAGTACTTTTTGAGTTTCCAAAGTTACCTATTTTTCCAATTATAAGAATAAAAGTTATAAATATATAAGTTATAAAAAGATATGGTATGATGTTACAATATTAGATAAGATAAAATATGATATGATAATAATACAAATACAGGACTTACAAATGAAAGACATTAACATTCCATGTTCGTTCTTTCCCCTTCAGTCTCATGGCCTCCAGACGATACTACTTTGAGATTCTCCACAAGCAGGACGACAAAGGCTCGGATCACGTTGAAGTCGGGGTGAGTTTTGAATTGGCTAAACTCAAGCTGATTGTAACTCTGAGACCAAGAGATGGATCTAAATGCTGATAGTAGTTTTTAATAATAAAATAACAAAAATATACACAGCTCAACACAAGAACTGAGTAAAGCCACCAGCATTACAGCCATAAAAAGGACGAGAGCTGACAATGAACACAGAAAACACTGGGATTTATATACTCAAGATATCAATGGGCTAACAAGGGACAGGTGAGGGAAATGAATCACTATGGGAACAAACAAGGGTAACTATGACCATGAATAAAGGGGGCACAGCAAAAGCAAAGAGGAATTAAAAACTGGTGAAACAATGGAGCAATTGGAACAGAAAATACATATCAAAATTAAAGTCCTTAAACACAAAAAAGGAGAAACTCTAGCACTCTGAGCTTTAGAAACGATTCTTAATGCATTTCAGACCACATAGTGCTTTTCGATTCATGTTCTGTTTATTCAATCTAAACATGTGCAATCATGCATCCTTCACTATCCATTATCTGAACTTCCAAAACAGCTGTTATTGTCCACTTTTGGTAAATCAATTTATACAGGTCTTTTCAGTCCACGGGTTATTCTGAGGATTGATAATAGAGGCTAAAGAAACTGAATGTTTTGGTAATATCTGTTTTTGAAAACACTCCATTCAGTCGCCCCGAGAGAGAAAAATACCGAGTTTTAAGAGCGGGTGACCTGCAGCATTGAGTTGAGATATTTTTCATGAGTCTGTCTGCTAGTAATAATTTATTTGAATGAATGAATCATTGTCATGGATAGAGTTCATTGTGTTTGGTCACTTTACATGCACTGACTAATAACCTATGTTAATGTTAACACCTAAATGTACTAGTTTTATTCAAGTTAAAAATATTATTTAAACATCACTGAATCATACTAAATGCACAAATTTATACCAAGGAACTTACATTCTTTGGTTAAATGAGGTAAAAATAACACTTTAATGTAACAACTGGAATACATTGGACATATTTTTTTTAATTAATAACTATTGATTACTTCCCCTTCAATCAATGTCAATCAAAGATTTTTTTTTTTTCATCGAACATGTTAGGTGATTTAGATATTGATTTTGTAAATAAATTAATACATCTAATTACAAAAAATATAAATAACTATCTGTGTTTGGCTACTTTACAAGTCTGTAAAGCAGTCTTTACCTGTTCAATTGCAACCATAACAGTGTTATAAATTGACCTTTTTTTAATAAGGAGCAATATTTTGGCCCTGGAATTGATTTCTAGGAGAATTTTGATTAGTTGTTTCCCCCAAAATAACATGCACTTAACAACAGATTAGATGTGTTGAGATTTTCTGAAAATTCTGTGTTGGATCAATTTTTTTAGGTCATAATGGTGTCTGCAGAGGTACTAAATCAATACTAAACAAATAATGACACAAAATAAAACTATGGATTTCACCATGGAGAACAATTTTGTCCCCACATAACTCATATCTGGGCCATTTTCATAACTTTTGGTGGCATTTTTGCCCAGAGCCCTAGATATTTTCTGACCCTGAACTCCACTATAGTGTACTCTCCAGGTAATTTGGGAGACCTCAGAGTACGCCTCATAGTCTTTGTTACCGTTTTGTTACATTGCAACACATGTCTCTGTGATTTCATATCTGCAATGTTTTAGTTGTTATTTACTTTATTTATTCCATTCATGTTGTCGGAACAAAGGAACCACATTTTAGTTTTGGAACGAATCAGCTCATGGAAATGAAGTTTGAAATATTCTAAAGTAGATGTTTTGGTTTGTGGAAGCGTGTTCTGAAATGTAAATGCCTGTCAGTGCCATTAAATCATTAAAACATCTTTGATTTGAAATGGGGGAAAAAATATATATTCAAGTCCAAAATCCAGTCCATTGGATTTTGTTTGGTCATTTGTTTGACCCTGCAAACACATTCTGTTTTCATTTGCTCCAAAAACTTTTCAGTTTTTTACATTAAGCATTGCACTTAAGTGGAGGCAGGGCTAATTTGCTAATTCATAGAACTGCATATATTAAATGGTCAAGTGGCCAAAATCCTATGAGAAAAAAAAAGAGTGGGAGACGATTGGCAACTGAGGGGAACTGCATTCAAGAAGCTGGAGCGAATGGGAGACCTGATTTACAACTATGGTACATAGGGCTTTGGGATGGCAGAAAAGAAGACAAAACCATCACCCACCCCGACGCAATTCAGTGAGTGGAGGCAGGGCTAATTTGCTAATTCATAGAACTGCGTATATTAAATGGTCAAGTGGCCAAAATCCTGTGAGAAAAAGGAGTGGGTGACAATTGACACAGACATCAGTAACCTCCTGGGACAACTGAGGGGAACTGCAGAACTGCAGGGAAGATGCTGGAGCGAATGGGAGACCTGATTTACAACCATGGTACACAGTGCTTTGGGATGGCGGAAAACAGGAAATAAACCATCACCCACCCCGACAAAGTTCAGAAGACAGCAGGAGATAGAACGGTTAGTCAAGAAAAAAAGGCAGCTGAAAAAACAATGGAGAAAAGCTCCAGAGGAGGAGAAGGTGGGAATTAACCTGCTACAGACAGAAATTAAGAAGTGATTGGTAACCTTGAGGAGAGCTGAGAATCTGAGGAGAAGGCATAAAATGAAGGAGCAAGCGAGATCAAACGTCTTCAAGGACCCCTACAAGTTTGCAAAAAACCTTTTCACAAAGGTAAAAAGTGGCAAACTCAAAGCATCGAAGAAAGATCTGGAAACTTACCTAAAACAGAGCCACACTGACAGCCAGCAAGTCGGAGAGACAACTCTTCCACCCGTATGCCAACGATACATTCCCCAGAACATCAGCTGGACATCACCCTCCCCCCAGATGGAGCGAAGTAGAGAGAATTGTACGTCAGACAAGAGCTGCATTCTCCCCTGGGCCCAATGGAGTACCATAACGGCTGTATAAGAACACACCAGGGGTATTGCGCTGTTTATGGAGGCTAATGATAGTAGTGTGGCAGAAACAAGAAATTCCAACGGCATGGAGGAGGGCAGGAGGCATCATCCCGAAGGAAAAGGACTCTGTGGACATCAGCCATTTCCACCAAATCTGCCTCCTGAAAGATGAAGGTAAAAACTTTTCAGTGTAGTGGCTAACAGATGAACAGCCTACCTGGAAAAGAACCACAACATCGATACCATGGTGCAGAAAGCTGGGATTCCAGGCTTCTCTGGTTGCTTAGAGCACACAAACATGATACATGATATGGAATCAAATCCAAACCGCCAAAAAGAATGGAAGAGATCTCCATGTTGTGTTCTTGGATCTTGCAAATACCTTTGGGTCAATTCCTCACAATCTCCTCTGGATTGCAGTATTTCAGCATCCCAGAAGATGGAGGTCTATGGAGGACATCATTCGCGAATCTCGATGGGAGTAGGAGGTCAGAAGCTCAAATCTAGTCTTTGTCTCCCTCCCATCAGAGTCTGTATGGACAATATGACCATCCTCACCACAACCAAGGCTTGTGCTAGACGCCTGCTGAACAAGTTACAGGAGAACATTCAGTGGGCTCGGATGGAAATAAAATGGTAAACGGACTGCATTTATACAGCGCTTTCATAGACCTAATGGCCACCAAAGCACTTTACATTTTTGCCTCACATTCACCCACTCATTCATACACCGATGGCGGTGTCAGCCATACAAGGCGCCATCCAGCTTGTCAGGAGCAGCTGGAGTTAGGTGTCTTGCTCATGGACACCTCAACACTTGGTTGGAACCGGGGATTGAACCACCAACCTTCCGGTTTGTAGACAATCTACATGAACCACGTCGGGAGCACTGCCGCCCCAAAAAAAGTAAAGCCAGGCAAGTCCAAGAGCATTTCAGTCATCAAGGGAAAGCTGTCGGAACAGCGGTTTTATGTGGGCTGGGCAAGGAGCCTATACCAACAGTGGCAGAGAAGCCAGTCAAGAGTCTTGGACATTGGTACCATGCCACCCACAAGGACACAGAGCAGGTAGACCAGGGAAGGGAGTTCATTCGAGAAGGGGTAAAGACAGCCAAAGGAAATACAACAATTATTGGCCAGTTTGAAAAGGCTCGAGACTGCAACTTGGTGGCAGATTTGAACCAAAGGCTTTACTTCCCTTCTGAGTTTGCCACAACGAACCTAAGACCAGACCTCGTGCTGTGGTCCCAATCACTCCACATCGTGTACATAATAGAGCTTACCATTTCCTGAGAGGCTGCTGTGGAGGAGGCATTTGAGTGCAAGAGACTTAAGTACACCGAATTGGCAGCTGATGCTGAGCAACGCGGATGGAAATCCAAGGTTTGCCCAGTGAAAGTCGGCTGCAGAGGCTTTGTGGGCAAGTCAAACATCAGGCTGCTTAACGAACTGCGAGTGCGGGACCAAACCCTACGCCAAACCATCAAAGCCCTCTCAGGTGCAGCAGAAGAAGCCGATAGATACCCTGCTCGCAGCGAAAATTACCTTTCTAGGGGGTAGTGATGGCGCAGTGGGTAAGACACATGCCTTTGGCGTGAGAGACCCGGGTTTGAATCCACTGTGAGACACCAATGTGTCTCTGAGCAAGACACTTAACCCCTAGTTGCTCTAGAGGCGTGCGACCTCTGACGTATATAGCAATTGTAAGTCGCTTTGGATAAAAGCATCAGCTAAATGAATAAATGTGAATGTATATGGGTAAAAAGGGGAGACTCCAACAGGGGGTGCCCACCTGATGACCCCAATGAAGCTTATAACCCCCATTCTCATCCCACTAAACCATCACCACAGTGTGGAAATCACTCCGATGGATACATTGTTACCACTCAGACCTTAAACCTGTCACCACCACAGAGAGGAAACCACTCCGATGGATCAGCACAGTCTCATCCTAAGACGTCATATAACTGACGTTTTGGGACGTCTTTTGACCATACGTCAACATCCGCCTTTTTAGGGTACCCTTAAACGTCGGTTAGATGACGT